GAAGAAGATCCCGATGTTGACACTATTGCCGTTGAGAGGAAAGGCTGCTCATATGCAACGAGTTCTCCTCCTTGGGCTGAGTCCATCAATGCGGCCATTCGTCCTTGGTTTAGAGCAGCAGGGGCCGCAACCGACGGGGGTTGATTACGTTTTGGCTGCGGACAGTCCAGGGCAAAATGTCCGGGCTGTTTGCAGTTAAAACCCTCGACCTTTTCTGCTGGATTAGCCGGGTGAGGGAACTATGGTGGATAGCCAGGAGCGGGCGGGGCAGGCAAGAGAGGAAATGACGCGGGGGCAGGTCGAGCAGGGGCTGGGTTGGGCTTAATTAGCCTGCTCATTATTTGTTCCATCCGCTCCATGTGAGCTGCCTGCATTTGAATCAAGTTGCTTATCCATTCGGACTGCTTGTTAGTGACCGTATGGATCATTTGGGCAAGATGTAAGTTGGTTACGGTCGGCGAGGGGGGTTCGTGAGAGATTCCGCTCCTAATTGTCGCTATCGGTTGATTCGTTGGGGGAGAGGAAGAGGGAACAGGCGGGATATCGGAAGTGATCCCGTCGGGAAGGTCATGGTTGGGACGGGGATAAAACCGTTCTACCGCCCACAGCCACGATTGCAGTTTAGCCGTTACATCCTGTATGGTGTCCGTAGTATCTTCATCTCCCCGACTGATGTATTTTTTGGTATCATCCAGGTCTTGTTCCAACGCTTTAGTGATGATAGCAAATAGCTGGTATCTTCGGTGGGACCTTTTTCTGTAACTTCCCTTTGAACGTCGGACTTCGTAGGTGATCGATGAACAAGTCTCGAGCGGATTTCTCGTCTCGCCCAGATTTGTGCAACGTGGTTTGAAATTGATCCACGAAATCGGGCAACAATTCCCCTGGTCCTTGTGGTCGAGTTTTGAGTACGTACCAGGCGGCATCTTCACTGACCGTATCGAATCGAGCCAAGAATGCTTGTTTGAAAGTATTCCAATTTACCCACGTGTGCTTCCTGAACCAGTCATGCGCCGTATTCTGAAGCAGCAAGGTAAGAACGTGGGGAAGGTCACCCGCGCTGTATCCTTGAGCTTCAACGGCTTCCGCCCAAGCTTCGGGGTGGGTATGATTAGGGAAGATGGGGAAGGGGGCAGGAGTGCTAACCACTACTTTATTACTGTCCACCATTGGTATACCTGGTATAGCAGCACCTGATATAGATCTGGTCACTGGACGATCTCGGCGAGCGGGTGGGGAACTTCGTCTTCTACCTCTCGCCAGTTCGACTTACTATCATCAGAACCGACACGTGTCGGCTCCGATACCAACCTCACGCCCTGTGCTGTCTTTCGTTCGGAGTGCTAGATGTGAGGAAAGAGGCCCAAAAAAACAGCAAGATGGGGTGTGCCAAGGATTTTAGAAAATTGAGTGTGGGGACACAGACGGAACTGAAATCCCCCGTGTTGGTCCGATAAAGTAAGTCGGTTGCTTTCGCTCGTCGCAGAATGCGCGCGCGCGCACGGCGCGAAAAGAAAAAAATCAAAATTCAATCCAAAAAATATTGTCGACCTTCCCACCGTGCTATGGCCCGTCGTTTAGAGCGGAAGGGCTTTGGCACGCTTCGCGTGTCTCGTTTTCGTATCAAATCCCGTCGTCGTTCGCTGGTCAGTCCTAAGTCTGATGTGGAGGGTCTCAGCCGGGTATCTCTTTCCTTATGCTCGTCTTCACTCCGTATTCGGTAGTGCGTGTCCATAATAACAAACCCAATGGGGCGATCGACATGCTGGCACTCTGTGCAGAGGCTTCGAGGCCAATGGGGCGCCACTGCCGTCCACGGAATGACGATCAGCTCGTTAAAGGGGAGCAATATTGAGTAGGGCGGAAAGTGCGTGTCTATAATAACAAACCCAACCTCTACGAACCCTGAACAACTGTTTGCCGGAGGGAAGTAGTATCGTCCGCCGATCTGTGCGACAACTTCTCGTACGTCCCACTCACATACATGTGTCCTTTCCTCATTGTATAGAAAAGGTCATGTTGATACGGGAGGCACGGGAGACTGACGCCCGATCGAAGAGTGCTTGTCAGTCCACATGTCACTCAATGGCAAAAACTCCAAGACTTCATCAAGGAAAAACAAGAAACACTCGCGCAACCATCAGTCAGTCCTTTTCAATCACGAGAGAGAGAGAAAACACCAATCAACTGGATCATGTTCAGATGTCGTGCAGTATAAGGCAGTTGGCATGCGCAGCGCACTCAAAATTACAGATCTAAACGCTCTTGCATCCTCGGACAAAATCCCGACAACAATCGTCTAATCAACTCAAAAAGACACGTACCTCCATACATACATTCACTGTGGAAGGTGCGAAAATGAGATGCACAGAGATAAAAGATGGATCGCTGAATAGTACACACGCATCCACCGTTCACAAGACAAGAAGGCGGGGTTCTTGCATAGGGGGACTACCCAGGAAACTAATGGAAGAGTTTCGGACGAAGTTCTTTCACACAGGAACAACACAGCAGACGGCGACTCAAAATCCCAAAAATCGCAAAATTTCTCATCGACCATGTTGAGAAACCTACCCTCGACGGTGGAGGGTAGCTTTCTCAACTCCGTGGCGCTTGCCCATGCCGCCTTCCCTTCATTGCGGGAGTCCATTCGAAGTCCTTGTACAAAAAAAAAATTCATTCAAATCACCCGGCAGGACATCAACATTTCGAAATACTTCCAACTGTGGGATCACAGCCCTGTCGACGGCAACATCCTGTCGAACGTTGTCGCTCGTCATAGAAAACTCGGGGTTGAGTTTTCTCAACAACACAGGTGGGACCAGACCCCTGGAAAAAGGGCCTTATACCTTTCTCGGCCTTTTGGCTAAGTAAGATCAAGTGTACTATCTGTTCTGATCAGTTTAATATCTGATCCGTGGTCCATCGGACCATTTTAAAAAAAAAAAAAAAAAAAAAAGGCCTTTTTAAATAAGTTTGTATTCATTTGCCCCTAATCAGCCGCTGGCAAAATTGGGTAAATCACTTTCCCACCATTTTGGCACAGCAGGCCCTGCTGGCTTTTCTGGCCCACCCAGGGTGCAAAAAGGAATGAATAAGACTTAGTCATTTTGGGGCCTCACATACTTCTTGCTCAATTTGGGGGCAGATGAATCGAGAGGTTTCGTGGGCAGGGGGAGTTATAACCTTTCTCATACATAGGCCGCGGGCCCTGCGGGCCAAAATCATGTATCTGGCCTCTGCTGCCAGTACCTTGCGGCGTCCATGATACATAAAAAATCCTCATGCCAGCAAATGCCAGCATCTTGCGGCGTCTGTGATACATCCAAAATTTCCAAAATCCTCATGCCAGCAAAATATTTCAATTTTAACTAAAAGGGAGTTCAGTAGGAACGTTTCTAGTCGGATGAATTTGGTCGCTCCTGTCGTGGCCCGTACATTTCTTAAAATTGTGGCTTGCATAGGGGCATGACTTTAGGAAGCACTGGTGGTTTGAGTAGGGAGAATTGCATTCATACCGGACTTAGCGCCAACTTGCACCTATACCCTGAAAACAACAAGTGGAAAGGATTTGCATGCCCTGGACTGAGCTTAGTGAGCTGGGCTCATGTTGGTACCGCAAAACTGCAGTTACAACCAACTACCAGAATGCACAAATTATGGACAAATTTCTTGGGCTATGTACAAATTATGGACATACTCAGGCAGAATTCTGGCCAACCCTATGCACAAATTTCTTGGGCTGTTGGTATGTTCAGGCGGTTTATGAGCTGAATGCAACATCAATCAATCATTTTCGAGTGTTTCGCGTCCATAGTGTAATATGCGTCACAAGTTCGTCGTGAATGCGTTATCTGAATGCGTGTTCTTTGCAGTACTATCTGTTCATAATTCATATCCGGGACTGTGGTGGACTGGCCAAATTATTCATATACCCCACTACTGGATGGCTGTAATTATGCTCATACCCACGAGCCGTAAGGGGGCCACAACGGTCCGCGCCGAGGGCATGAGCAGAATTTTGTTATCCACCATCCAGCCCCCCCACCCCCCCCCGCGGGGTGTGGGTGCGCCCACAATTTGGCCAGCCCCTTTCGGGGCATTAGCGTACTTTGATCGTCTGCAACGGAGGGCATGCCTACAATTTGGCACAGGAGGAAATTTGCGTACTATGCAAAGGTGAACCGGGTCCGGGTATAGATGCATGCTAGGTGCTGGGAGAGGGTATAGCGGGTATTCCCATCTTTAAGTGGGGTACAGATGCAATTTCCCTATTTAAAAACATGTTTGTTTGTCCCAATACAGGGGCAGACCGGTATGCGTGCCACGTTTGCCACGTTAGTTTTCAAAACGCGTATACCTGAAATCTACCCTGATTCATCTATTCAATTTGCATCTATTCGGGGCAACACCGGTGGACCGGTGGTTGCTTGCATCGTGATGTGACTGTTACCCAGTCTCACCGTAGTACATCAGGAGCTTAGCATTTGACACTGTCATGAACAAGAAGAAGACGAAGAAGAAGAAGAAGAAGAGAAGACGAAGAAGAAGAAGAAGAAGAAGAAGAAGAAGAAGAAGAAAGAAGAAGAAGAAGAAGAAGAAGAAGAAGAAAGGAAGAAGAAGAAGAAGAAGAAGAAGAAGAAGAAGAAGAAGAAGAAGAAGAAGAGGGAGGGAAGAGGGGGGGGGCGAGAAGGCGCCCTCTACAGATACAGATAGATAGATATATGGATATATATATATATATCGTCACAAACAGAACTGCCCGGTAAACCGTAGGCAGAGAGAGAGAAGAGGACAACAAACGAGGGGCTGTGACAAACTGTTTCATCGGAGACACAGAGAGAGAGAGAGAGAGAGAGAGAGAGAGAGAGAGAGAGAGAGAGAGAGAGAGAGAGAGAGAGAGAGAGAGAGAGAGAGAANGAGAGAGAGAGAGAGAGAGAGAGAGAGAGAGAGAGAGAGAGAGAGAGAGAGAGAGAGAAGCACACAGTAAAGGGGAAGAGTCTTCGTTCCCAAACGCGACCAGCAGGCCAATCAAGAAAACGTCAAGACACCGCCTGGTACATGGGTGATATGTATAAGCCACCGAAGGAGCGACGTAGCAGCCCAATGCTATGCTGCGTGCAATGGCCGCAGCCTAGGGTACGGGTACACAAGGGTACCATCCCGTTGCACCCCAGCAGTTACCAATCCTACAGCGGCACGGAGGGGGGCATTCAAAATCGCACGGCTCGGATACCCACAGAAGCCTGCCGTCGGCCATTGCCACGTGGCCATCGTATCTCTGAACCTTCTCATGCTTGAGTAGGCGAGCAGTTGCATGCGAGGCAGCAACTAGGAATATCATGCCCCCAAGGAGGATGACAGCCATCCATCCGCGAGGGGCACGTAGGGAGGCCGCCATCCAAGGAACCTGATGCTGATGCCTGCTCAAGTTCAATAGATTGCCGAATTTGCCGTTTGCACCCCCTCAGCCGGTGGGGCCCGCCTTGCGAGCTTGTTTCTCCTACGTCGACCCTCCCCTTTATTCCAAGCCTATCACTAAAGGGCATTTGGATTGCATGGCTTACCTATAGGCTATAGTTGCTGTAACCAATAATATAATACCATTAGTTATGACGTCAGGGGTTTGTATCTGACTCCAATTGGGGCCAGGTACATAGACGGCTTAGATGCGATAAGTGTACTGTCATATCGAGAGCCTCGCCCTTCGTTATCTACCTGGCTACCTTAGGAGTTAAGGTAACCTCGCCACGTGCCTGGACCCCATGATGCAGAGTCGGGGACGGAGATGACCAACAAATTCCTGTTGTTGTTTTTTTTTCAACAAGAAAACAAAAACGAGAACGAAAAGAAAAAGAAAAAGAAAAAGAAATGGCCGAGGGCCTTTGTCTATAATCATCGTCGGAGTGTGATTGAAGTTCAAATGAGATTGGAAAACAAACAAAAAAAAAAAATCGAACTTCCCACCCTCAGCTAATTAAGCTAGAACTATGTCATTGTTAAAAAAAAAAAAAAAGGAAAAGAAAAACAGAGAATTATGTCATAGCTCTTTGTATTTCGTCAGGATTCGAGCTGGGGTCTGCAGTCCTTTGAGCAAAGCAGATTGTTTTAACGCGTGAATGTGGACGTG